GGCGGGCATTGCGAATGCTTTTCCCAGCTTCTGCCACATCTGCCAGCACAGCTGCTCTTCTCTCTTGGAGGTCTTCCTTTATTGATTCCCTTCACTGCTTTGCGAGTTTGGACATTCGCTTGCGGTTGCCTGAGGCTTGCGCCAAGCCTCATTGACAAATGAGCTCGAGAGTTTTTGAAGACAGGCATCTTTTTGTGGCTATCTCTCTCTTGGCATTCCTCGCACAATCATGGTGGTGCTGAACCAGTCAATCATATTTCTTGTCAACATTGTCAGTGATGGCATCTTCCCATGTTTCTGCAATAGTACCAAAGAGCTCCCTGTTGATGGTTGTTCTGGTAGTTCTCTTCTTAAACTTTGCAGATTTTTCTCCCTCCTCTGTGAAATAGAATTTTGCATGAAGGAGACAGTGGACTGATCCCATTTGTAATTTTGGGACAATAGCGACATCAGTCAGGCAAAACCATCGATTGAATATGATGTGGTCAGTTTCATTGTGGAACCGTCCACTGGGAGACTCCCATGTCCAATGTTTAGATTTAGCCTTTTGGAATTGTGAGTTATCATGGATGGTCTTGGTTAACACGATGAACTCGGACTGTCTCTCACCCTGTTGGTTTCATTCTAGGCCATGGGTCCTGATGTGGAGTTTTATGGCTGATCTTCTCAGTCCTATCTTGGCATTAAAATCACCAACAATGATCTTTTAGAAGGTGTGGTCTTCTTTATAGGACTTCCCCAGCTCCATGTAGAACTTCTCAATTTCTCCTTCATCATAATTGGATGTTGGTGCGTAGACAACCAAGATAGATACTGCTGGCAGTGAGCCACATCTGTTCATGTGAAATTTTCCGATTTGGGTTCTTAGGCATTCTAATGAATCAATGTTTATGGCCAAGTTCATGTTGACAAGGACACCAACACCACCAACACCTCTTTTGTCCGTGTTCCGAGGAATAGTTCTTCCCCAGTGTCAAAAACGGTGTGATCAATGGAGTACTATGTAGCTCTTAGAAAAGATGAAGTCATGAAATTTACATACAAGTGGTACAATATGGAAAGTATCATGCTAAGCGAAATGAGTCAGAAAGAGAGGGATAGACATAGAAAGATTGCATTCATCTGGGGGATATAAAGTAACAAAGTATGAGATTAATACCCAAGAATAGCTGAGATCAGCACCAGGAGGATTACTCCATAACTTAGAGGCCAGCCGGGTATCCTAGAGGAAAGGGCTATTCAGATAGAGGAGGGAGCACCAAATAAAGGATGTTTGGAGGATCCTCCCAGGAGGGGAGATGCATGTCGAAAGTAGACTATGGACTGAACATGTTTGCCACTCAATGCCTCTTTTGCAGACCACAACACCCAAAAGGAGAGAGAGAACACAGGGGATTGCCCTGCCACAGAGACGGGGGGATGGGGGGATGGGGGTGGGAGGGATATTATCCATGGTGGTGGAAAATGGGCACTGGTGGAGGGATGGGTATCTGATCATTGTATAATTGAAACCAAAGCACAAAAAATTGTAAATCTACAACTTTAAAAAAAATAAAATAAAATAAAGGGAAAAAAAAAAAAAACGGTGTGATGTGATTGATGCCTTCTTGTCTCGGTCAGACCAATGATGTCATACTTGATCTTTCGTGCTTGCACCATCAGGTCCTCAATGGATGCATCCAATGCTGGTGTACGTGCATTGAAACTACAGTCATTTTTGTCCTTCTTCGTTTTGGCAGCCTAGGTCGGCCCCGAGATTTTATGAGGCTATCCTTCCTCATCCTTTTTAACGCTACCCTATTGGTGGCTCTTTCAGGGTCAAGAGAATGGGACCCATTGTATTTACTGATAGAGGAGTTGAATTTTATAAGTTTGGTTTTGAGACCACACTCAGCAGTGTTCAGGGCTTACTCCTGGTTCTGTGTTCAGGGATCACTCCTGGCAGGCCTCAGGGGATTATAAGGTTTGTTGGTTATCAAATCTTGATTGTCTGCATGCAAGCCAATTACCCACCCTGCTGTACTATTGCTTCATCTCCAAAGAACTAACTTCAAACTTTTCCATTCCTGTAAATCTGTAAATGTGTCAGGAAGCATAAAATTAAGATTTAATGACTTGAAAAAAAATAGTTACAGCTGCATTGTCAACAGGATTCGTGATCTTTTGGGTTATACTGGGAACATTTCTTAGATCTCAAGCCCATGTTGGAATCAGAAATCAGAAATCAAGGAAAAATCAAAAAGGTGGTTTGAAGAACAGTGGAAGAACATGGATTTACTTGGTTAATTGGACAATAAACACTGTATGTAGTATTAAGATAGAAATGGCTTTCAGACAGTCTATTGAAAATATATGATCATATTTTACTTGGGGATAACAGTTTTACTAGAAACAAATTCTTACAGGTTGACTTTTAACTCGATAGGTTTGTAAATAGCCCATATCATTTTCAGGTTATTAGTTGGCAAACATACCAATGAAACTGCTAGTCTATTATTACTATTATTATCTAATTATCCAGGGTCTGCCCCAATGAGGTTAACTAATAACCTGAGCATAAACTCAGATTAGATAATAATGTTTTTAATTAAATGAATGAATAAAGTTATTTTCTGTTTTTTTTGAAACTAGCAAAGTTTATTGGAAAGTAGAAGAGAAAGGAAAAGTAACTCCCCACGTGAAGAAGAACTTACTATAGGACAAAGTTCGAGGTGTTTCTTTTGTGACTCATTTCCCCTGATTGACCAAGTCCTAAGCCCTCTTAATTGAAGCAAGCATCTCTGTGCATTGCTGAGTACCAGTGACCATCTGTGCTTCTAATGGAGTCCAAGAGCATGGGAAGAAGGGAATGTAGTCATTGCCTTTGGCTTAATTTTCACAATTGAAATATGAATGGACGTAGCGTATGCCACATCTCAATAGAAGCTCCAGTTGCTATATCAAGCATTGTGTTTCCCCATGAGAGAGAGAGGGCCTTGTTTCCTCCAAGGCTGATTAACACTTACAGCACAAAGGACGAAGATGTGCATGGTTTGGGGCCAGTGTGAGAAACTGATCTTAATTATTTGTTGAAATGTGGGATTGTTTGCCTCCAAGAAGCTAACAAAAAAATGCCTGGATGAGTGGTTTGGGCCACTACTCTTTACTGGTTTATTTATGACCGATGCAACATTCACTTTTCATTTACTCTAAGTTCCTTCGTCATGGGACAGTTGGTGGCAATGTCTAAACTAATCCAGACTAAACTTCATGATCATTTTCCAGTCTATCACTGAGAAAAAAACATTATATCATAGACATAATTAACATAAAATGACTTCTTTTGGATAAACTAACATTAGTTTTTTAAAAATAATACTTATTGGCAGAGTACACTATGGCATTTGGAAATATGGAAAATATAAAAATGTCAAAATTAAAAATAAGCATACTTTGTTAATCCAAAAATTTAGTTTAATATTTAAGAGCCTCTCCTTCAGATTTAACTCTGTTTTTATAAATGTTTAAGTATGAACACATTAAAAATATGTATATGTACAAGTGTATGTATACTCACATATAAATAGGTACATCGTTTTGAAATACTTTACATCTTGTTCAACAAATTTTCATGTTTTATTATAACTTAGATTACTTCTTTTCAAAAATTGATAGCATATTCTTCCAAAAAATCTTTAAGATTATTATAGGGAGTAACAGTACACAGAAATAAGGAAAATTATATTTCTAACATAAAAGTTTATAAAATATCTTATGTTACACACTCTCCAGATATTAGTGAAGTGGATTGAAATAAATACAAGATTGAAATAAGCCCTATGTCCTGTCACTGTAAATAGTTCATTTTATGATTGTTTAGGACGAATCATGAAAATTCCATTTTTATGAGGCCCTTGGAGTAGTCTCTTTCACCTAGCTCTGCCTGAGATGTGGAATTTCACACATTTTCTGAATTTCCTCATTCTGGGGAAATGGCTCACACATCCTTCCTTGAATGTATTCTTACCTTTTTCCCCCCTTTCTAGTGAGAGAGAAAAACATGCCTCTATATTTCTCTCTATTTCTCTCTCCATCTCTCTATCTCTCCCTCCCTTCACATCTCTCTAAAGTTTTTCAATAAAAACTTTTTCTTTTCCAAAAAAAAGGCTGTTCCACATTCTAATGTAAAATAATTGGACTCTCTATTCTTGTTACCTCTTTGCCCCTTCATTATTTCATTTCTTCTTTGTCTATAATTTTCACATTTTTAAAAACAGGGTGGGGGTTAATAGCCACACCCAATTGTGCTCCAGGCTTACTCCTGACTCTGTGGATGCTGTTTGGCTGGACTCAGGGGAACAAGTTGAGGTGCTGAGGATGGAACCCGGGCCAACCATGTGCAAGGAAAGCAGTCTATTCACTGTTCTATCTCTCCTGTCACATGTCTGTAATTTTCAAATGTAACTGAATGATATAGTGTCAAGAAATGAGCCTCTTTACTGCCATACAAGAAATGACAGCAGATAGTGATTGCCAAATGCTACAGTCTTGGCAGAGGGCATGCAGACTATAATACTGCAAGTTGAACATTGTAAATTAGGTTATAAAATATATAAGTAAATGATAGATTATATTTGCCTAGATATGAGAACCCTCTAATCACCAAATTCATTGATCAACTTGTCATTAAACCAGCATGAACTGTACCCTCCTCCTAGCTAACAATGGTCAATCTATAAATCGAAGTGCATTGCCTAATTGCATAATGTGCACCTCTTTCCCCACAATCTCGCATCTAGCGTTTCTTACTCTCTCTCTCTCCAAGAGACTCCATCCCTCCTCCAGATTGTGATTTCTTTTGTCCAAGCAGCTAAATGTGCTGCACAGACTTTGGGTGAGCTCACTGTGCTTTTGCAAGACGATCCAAGATGTGCATTATATTTTCAAGCATGTGTCCTGTTTAGAGGCAAAATCTGAAGAGTTTATAGGAATTTATTTTAACTTATTTTTTTTACTTTCAGGTTCTGCACTAAATGATGGCCAGTGGCATTCTGTGTCCATATCTACTAGAGGGAGTCACCTGAGTATGACAGTAGATGATAATGCAACTTCCATAGCACATTCCCTACATGGGCAGATTCATTTTGGTGACACATACTATTTGGGAGGTAAGTGAAAGGAACAGGTAATCCGGCTTATTTTAAAACAACAAACATTCTTTGTGGGGTTGGGGCTGGATCACACCCAGCTGTGCTCAGGGTTTGCTCCTGGTTCTGTGCTCAGGGATCACTCCTGGAGGGTTCAGGGACCACAATATGGGAATGCATGGGATTGAACCTGCCTCTAACATGTGCGAGGCAAGCACCCTACCCACTGTACTATTGCTTTGGCTCCAAGACAACAAATATTTTAAAATGAAAGTTAAAAATGAATATTTTTAATTATGCTATGGCCAGTGGCAATCTTGAGGGGACAAAGTTGAAAAAATCATGACCCAAAGTGCATATTTACTAGGTGGCCTTGTTTAAATATGCACAAAGAAAGAAATTTGACACTAGTGTTTTGCAATACCTTTATATCACTGTTATCTGGAAAGCTTCCAAAAGGTTGGTGCCTGCCTCTGTTTCACAAGCTGCTAATGTCTCAGGTCATGAGGTCTGGACAACAGGTTCCTTACTGTTTTCTACATCATTCTCTGTGCAGACAGCATTGGAAGGCATTGTTCTCCTCTCTAGTCTTGACTGCTTTTCTGTAAGTTCCTAAAGCCAATCCTCTCCAGATGCTCTGTGTTAATCATGCTGCCATATGTCAGGATTATTCTCCTTTTCTCGGTTGGTTCTTCTTCTACCTGGAGCTTGATGACTCAGTAGTGTGGCCCCTGAGCATATGACAGCAATGGTAGCGCCTGGAAGCCCATAAGAGGTAGCCAGGTACCCCACCTTGTCCTCCTGAGCCAGGATCTGCAACTTGCCAAGAAGTACTTCTTAGTCACTCTCGACAGAAGTCACTTTTGTATTGCATATCAATAATTGTAGGTAGCAGCTATAAACAGTGATCCCTTTGCTTGGTGATGAGATTTACCAAAACCCCAGCAGGGCCTCTCTACCCTAAGCATAGTAAATGGATGGAGCATGGAAAATTCACCTCCTCAGTGCATTTTAATTGTGATTTGGGGGCAAATTCAACCATGCTCAGGGCTTACGCCCAGCTCTGTGCTCAAGGTTCAGTACTAGCAGTACTTGGAGGACCATATGTAGTGCCAGATATCTAACCAGTCGTCCACCTGCATGGCATCTTACCCTTTGTATTACTATCATTCTGGCCCAACAGTGAATCTTTTATTAACACTGATTTTAAGTGTTGTGCTTTACAATACTGTTACTAGTAGGGTTTTATGGCTATAATGTGTCAACATCACACTCTCCACTATAATGCCTACTTCCCTCCCCACTGTTGTCTCAGATGTCTCTTCATCTTAACTCCTCACCCACCCCAGTTCAGCCTACCACTTCTCAGGTTCTGTTGCCTTTGGGCAATTGTTATTCTCTTACTATGTGTCTCTTTCTATGGCACATATGAGAGAGATTGTTCTGTACCTGTTCTTCAACCTCTGGATAACTTCATTCAACATAATACAACCCCCACCCATCCACTAGGCAATAAACAGCTTGGTTTTCTCTATTCTTATAGTCCAGAATTCCATTATATTTATATCCCATTATTTCCTTATCCGATCATCTCTTGATTGATTCCAGTGGGATCACCTTAGCCAGAGTGTTGTTGTGGAATGAAGATTTTGAAGGTGATACTCCCATACATAGGAACATTGAAGTAAAGAATCACATGTCCTCTGGAGGCTTAGAGATGCCATAAAAGATATATTTCTCATTGTCTTGAAACACTCCTTAATATATATTGTTTAGTGTTTTGTAATTATTTATTTTTAAAATAAGTTTAGAATCAAGGTGAAGATAGAGTGATTAATTGACAGCCTGACCAGAAAGTATAGTATCTTCCCTAGGAATTGACAACAGGCACATAAAGCATGACTCCTAAGATTCTTGAAGCAGCATTCACTAGGAAGGGCAGGTTGGTACCAGCAACCAGCAACCTTGATTTCTTGGTCCTCTCACATGCTTACTTTGGTTCATTTCTGGCCCAGATCATTTACTAAAGTTTTATGCTTATGCATCATAAGTGTAAATCTGTAAGTATAAATGTTATAGTTTAAAAGATTTTACAGCTTCTTAGAGGAACAAATTCCTTCAAAATGAAATAATTTATCCAATAATTATAATTTAAATGGAAAAAAATTTAAATCAATAAAAGAAATAAACCAAATGCTTGATATAATATTGAATGATGCAAAATAAAGTACTTTCTAAAATTTTTAACGATTTAAAACTATTTCAAAGTATTTAAACAAATTTCAAAATCCTTAAAATTTAAACAATCTTTATATTTAATGAAATGTATAGCTAGAGAAGGAAATTTTCATAAATATTCAAAGACTACTCTCCACACGCTTGGACAAGCCTCCCACATGAAAGAACTGGCAGAGGAACCCAGGTGTGTGGGACCTGGGGCTGAGACCTCCAAGTTTGCTGGATCGGGACTGGTCCTCCTCCAACCAGATCCCCTAGCTAGACAGTTACACCCACCAATTGCCCCCGGTGCCCAAGTAGTCCCATCAATGGCCAATATCCAGAGACTATAAAGCCAAGCTCCCGGAAGAGAACAACACAGAGTCTCCTTCCCCTGCACCTGACTGTCCTCACCAGGGCCCCTGAAAGTGGACAGGTTGAGTTTCCCTTCCCACCCCAAGCAGAGCCCCAACAGCTGAAGACCACAGGAACCCAACCACAGCCATGCTTAAGACCACTTTCCACACACTCAGATGAGCCTCATGCATGAAAGAACTGCAGAGGAACCCAGGTATGCGGGACCTGGGCCTGAGACCTCCAAGCCTGCTCGGATTGGGACTGGGCCTCCTCCACCCAGATCCCCCATCTTCCAGTAGCTTGGCAGTCACAAGTCACACCCACAAACTGCCCCTGGTGATGTGTAATATCATTGACGGTGACGATCCAGAGACTATAAAACCAAGTTCCTGGAAGCGACCTCTAGTTTTCACTCTAAGGAGAACCTGGTAGGCTCCCAAGAGAATCCTGCCCGTGTGGCAGAGTATGGCAAGCTCCCTGTGGTATATCTGATATGCCAAAACCCAGTAACAATGATGGGTTTCATTTCCCTGACCCTGAAAGAGCCTCCAATGAGGCACTTGCTAAAATCTCAGGGCTAGGACAAATGGAGACGTTACTGATGCCTGCTCGAGGAAATTGATGAACAGTGGGATGGCAGTGATACAGTGATTCAAAGCTTTGTGATATCAATCAGTTATTACTATGAAAAAAGAGTCACTGTCACTGTCCTCCCGTTGTTCATCAATTTGCTTGAGCGGGCCCAGTAACATCTCCATTGGAGATTTTGTTGTTACTGTGTTTGGCATATCCAATACCTCACGGGTATCTCGCCAGGCTCTGCCGTGCGAGCAAGATACTCTAGGTAGCTTGCCGGGCTCTCTGAGAGGGGCAGAGGAATCGAACTCGGGTCAGCCATGTTGGCTGCGTGCAAGGCAAACGCCCTACCACTGTGCTATCACTCCAGCCCAATGAAAAAAGAGTATATGCTTTAACTCTTCTGTGGCTGGAGCAATAGCAGGTAGGGCATTTGCCTTGCTTGCAGCCAACCAGGGTTCGATTCCAAGCATCCTATTTGGTCCCCTGAGCACCACCAGAAGTAATTCCTGAGTTCAGAGCCAGGAGTAACCCCTGAGCATCGCTGGGTGTTACCAAAAAAGAAAATAAATAAATAAATAAATAAATACTAATCTTTCCTAAATAATATACATAGGCACATTCTATCATCTACAAAATCAAGTGACAGTACTTTTGATAGTATGCATGATGACAATGCTTCACTTCCGCAGTGCTTGGAGGACTATATAGGATGCTGTGGATTGAATGTGCAAGGAGAATGCCCAAAGTGCTCTGGCCCTGAAAATACTGAAATTTAGAATTAATATTTTAGTATATATTATCCCCGGCGAGGACAGCCAGGCTGGAAGAGCCTTGAATGTGGCACTTTTTAGAATCTCAGGGCTAGGAAGAAGGAAATGTTACTGGTGCCTGCTCGGGGCAATCGACGAACAACAGGATGATCGTGATCATATATATTATCAAGAATATCTTCAGGTACATACATCAAAATTTTAAAGGAAATATCTGACAATAGAAATAAAACATGTGCTCTTCAAATCTATGTAGGAAGAAAGAATTAATGAATTCTTGAAATTTTTGTTAATTCAAAAGAATATAGAGTGATTTTTTTAAAATAAGTAGAAAATAATTAACCTTTCAGTAATCATACACAATGAATTTGACAAATTATTCATTTAAGCCTACCTATAGCTTATTGCATAAAATACAACTATATCTTCTTTGTTCATGCAGAAATATTAAAAGTACAAAAATCCATTTGATAAGCAAATACAAAATCAAGATAGTAAAGTTTGAAAATTTTAATGTGGGAAAACTTATTGTCACTATAATATGAAACTTTAAAATTTTACCATAAAGAACTAATGATCCTAACTTTATAATAAAAATGCTTTTAATATAAATGATTCACAATATACATGGAAAATAATAAAACCGCAAAACAAATTTATAAGCCAACCGTGATATAAACAATTCAGTTAGTAATTAAAAAGCCAGACACCAATTACTAAAGATGTAAAATATTTTGAAGAAAGGGACCCAGAGGGATAGATCAGAGACTAAGGTTTTTATGTTTTTAACATTGATTTCTAGCACCATTGCATTATAATTAGAGAAACTTATCATATTACAAAAACTATCATAATTAAAAAATTTACTTAATGCATGAAGCCAGTTTTGATTTGATCTCTGGCACTGCATTTGATCCCCCAAGCATATCTAAGAGTGATTCCTGAGCACAGAACTGGAAGTTAGTCCTGATCACTGTCAGGTGTGGCCGGAAACACACACACACACACACACACACACACACACACACACACAGACGATCAAGATGAATGAGCCAGAGAGATAATAGGGGGTTAAGAATTTTCTTTTGTATATTATGACCAAACCTGATTTGAAACTAAACCAGAACAGCATATTGTTCCCGGAGTTCCAAGGTTCACTTCTGAGCACAGAATCAAGTTGGAATATCCCTGAGCCCTGAGGGTGTAGCCCACAACCACCACCCTAAATCTAAATAAATAAAGTTAAGATATCAACTGAGAGGGATGATACATTGAGTAGGGAATTTGCTTTCACGGGGCCTACTGGATTTGATTCCATGTACCACATACAGTCTTCTGAACTCTGCTAAGAATCAATCCTGAGTTCAGAGTCAGTAGTAAACCCTGAGTACCTTCAGATGTGTTCTCCAAAACAACTGAAATTAATAAACAAATTAAATTAAATTAGAAAGTTGACTTTTTCAGCCCATAAACTTACAGAATACACAATTATCTTAGGCATGCATAGTGAATTTTCACAGTGACTTTCCAAAGATTCCATTAAGTAAATTTTTTAATTATGATAATATGAGCAGTTTCTCTAATTATAATGTAATGGTGCTAGAAATGAATGTTAAAAACATCAAAATAAATGTGTCCATTCAAACCACAGAACATTGGAAATGAATAAAAATTGCATTATGCATAGGCAATATGCTTGCTCACAAAACAAAGCAAGTTAATGACAGATCATGAATATTGAACTGTATTCCTATAAAGAAACATAAATAAATACTACAAAACTTCCTTCTAAATTAACTGAGAGGAATGAAATCACCATAATATGCAAGATGTTGAAAAAAATTATAAAAGTTCTGAAAACTTACATGAGCGTCTACACCACATTTTTGCAATAATTCCCTTAAAGGAAAAGTTAATTTTTCATTAAATAATTTATTGATTTAATTTAGTTCCAAGTGAATGTCAAACATTTTTTTGTTGTTGTTTAGAATGTTGAAAAATTGTTCCAAAATGTATATGGACAAGAAACGAAGAATGAATAGCTAAAAAACATCCTATAATAGGAGCCAGGTGAGAGAAGAATCCCACCTAATAAATATGAGAATGTGTTACAATGCTGAGTAATGATCTCTTTATTAGTGAGAAAACAGAACAAAACCCAACGGAGAGCCTATATTTGAGTTTCAAATTATGTACTTCTAGATGATAATTATGATCTCACCAATTATTTTCTCCCAAGTACTGTGAAACTTGAAAGTTGACCCAATATTTCTCCCAGTAAATTTCCCAATGTAAGTAAGGAGTCAAAAGTTCTGCTATGCCTCAAAAAGCAGTCTACGAAATACAGCAAGCAGTAAGAGTTATTCCTGGTGCATGAGGAAAGGAACCAAACACAAAATAGACATAGGTTTAGAAGTTCTCTTACTGAATGTTTAAAATTATTCTGAGAAATTATCTGATATGTAACATTTACAAATTTGGGAGGAAATAGAGAGGTCCTCAAGGGGCCAGAGATTGTCCAGGGGTTAAGTCACTTGCCTTCCATGTAGCCTACCCAGGTTTAAGCCCTTGCACCATCTATAGTCCCTAAGTACCACCAGGCCTGATCTCTGATAGTAGAGTCAGAAGTAACCCCAAAGTAACACCAAGTATGACACAATCAGACAAAAAAAAATAGAGGTAAGAGGAAAGCATTTAATTATTAGTTAGGCAATTTTTTATGGGTATGGGAACTGTGGAAATTAATAATTCCTGCATAAAATGAGTATAGTCAACAATGATGTGTGCCCATAAAAAACTGTTAAATAAGAATTTCTCAAAATTCCCTTAGATAAAGGGAATCTGCCTGATTCTTACAGTAAGCAACAACATGAAAAAGACTATTGTTATTGCCTAATAAACACTATCTGCATTACGATTTCTTAAGATTTTTCAGGGCTTTTTATGCATTGTCTATAAAATAGAATGAAAGTGTAGTTTTGTACTGCTTTGAGAAATAGAGCATTTAAAATGTTATTTAAAACCAAAAATACTCAATGAATAAGTTATATAATGGGCTGGAGTGATAGCACAGCGGGTAGGGGGTTTGCCTTGCACACAGCCAACATGGTCGACCCGAGTTCGATTCCTCCGCCCCTCTCGGAGAACCCGGCAAACTACCGAGAGTATCTCGCCCGCATGGCAGAGCCTGGCAAGCTACCCGTGATGTATTCGATATGCCAAACACAGTAACAACAAGTCTCATGATGGAGACGTTACCCAGCCCGCTCGAGCAAATCGATGAACAACAGGAGGACAGTGACAGTGACAGAAGTTATAATATAATTATTTTTCTTCTAGTATACTTCAGTGTTTTTCAGTTGTTTCTGAACTATGGTTCCCTTCTGGCCGTATTCTCATTCTATGATACTCTTTTTTTTTTCTTTTTGGGTCAAACTCAGCAATGCACAGTAGTTACTCCTGGCTCTGCACTCAGGAATTACTCCTGGCTGTTCTCAGGGGGCCATATGGGATGCTGGGGATTAAACCTGGGTCAGCCGCGTGCAAGGCAAAAGCCCTACCCATTGTGCTATCGCTCCAGCCCTCATTTGTAGCATTACTGATATCAAACACTGAAACTAATTTGATGCATTTTCAGCTTATTTTTGCAAAGTTAATTTCCAGACAGATCTCCCCATAAACCAAGCTTGCACTTTAGATTGTTGACCACTCTTCCTGACCAAACCAGGTATTATATGCTTGGGATGATTTCTGCCAGTGTGCGGTAAATACAGGGATTAGGCAGATAAAACTGTTACTTAATTTTATCTGAGTTTTAAAAACAGCTAGAATCAAAGCATTTTTTTTAACATTCAAGATGTTTCATTCACATATGTATGTGTATGTATTGTCTTATCATGAGCACTGATGGTCTCTTGGCTAAAACTCTAAAACAAATGTTTTAATTTTTTACTTCAAGGAAATATTTTGGAACCTAAGCAGAATTTGACTAAGTATTAGTCATGATTTTCTGCAAAGCTTATTAAGTTGAGCCATTCAAAGTATTTTTTTTAACCTATGGAATTGCAGTTGAAAATGCTTCAGCTTGCCTAGCTAGGAGTGGTCATTTGGTAATATTAAAAATCAAAACTTACTAGGTTTGTCACAAAGCATTAAGGATAAGTGGGACAAGTTATTATTTATTAAAAAATCAGATACACATATGTAATTGAGGTACACAGTATAATAGTCAACAGTTTTGGGACCAAAGAAATAGCATAGTAGGTAAAATGCTCGCTGTGCAGTCAGTCTGGGTTTGATCTTTATTACCCCATATGGCCTCTTGAGTCCTGCCGGGAAAGATTTCTGTGCACAGAGTCAGGAGAAATCCCTGAACACAGCTGGGCATAACCTCCAACTAAAATGCAACAAATAAAAAACTTAGAGTTTATTAACTTAACTTTCTCTAGAAAGGTGAAAAAGCAAGCTTATCACCTACACCTTGTTTTCTTTGTTTGATGGAACCATAGAATTATGCTTCCTAAAACATTATTTTTGTACTGAAGCATCATTGTTGTTATAATATAAACTGTTTCCTGGGGCCACAAGTGATGATTTCTATACATGTCCCATATACAGAAGATTCTTCATAATTGTCAAGAGAGCATATTGTGACAATAATTGACATGCCACTTTTACACCCACAAACACACACACACACACACACACACACACAGTGAGTCTCTTTAATCATTTTAAGAGTCCACCACATCACACCTTTTGCCTTGGTGTTGGACAGTAATTTGTTTTTTAAGTTCATTTCATTAACAAATAAGGAAATGCTGACAACTATAGTAGGAGTTTCTTAAATACCTTTGAAGTTTTGAGAATTCCAAACATAAAGATTACCACCTGAATGTTATTGTTTATTTGCTTTTTTAATTTATGAAGACTGATTACTGTCACTCGCATAAAAATTCTACATATAACAATTAACACAGTGGCTAACCTAGAGCAATGAGCTGCTTAGTGGCATTAAAAATGTCACTGGTGGAGGGATGGGCACTTGATCATTGTATAACTGAAACCCAAGCACAAAATTTGTAAGCCTATAACTGTACCTCATGGTGTTTCACTAATAAAAAAGAAAAAAAAAAGATTTAAAAAAAAATGTTACCTCTAGATCCTCCCAGGAGGGGAGATGCATGTCGAAAGTGGACTATGGACTGAACATGTTTGCCACTCAATGCCTCTTTTGCAGACCACAACACCCAAAAGGAGAGAGAGAACACAAGGGATTGCCCTGCCACAGAGGCAGGGGGGAATGGGGGGATGGGGGTGGGGGGGGATATTATCCATGGTGGTGGAAAATGGGCACTGGTGGAGGGATGGGTTTCTGATCATTGTATAATCAAACCCAAGCACATATAATTGTAAATCTACAACTGTACCTCATGGTGTTTCACTAATAAAAAAAAAATTTAAAAAAAATGTTACCTCTAGTCTGTCCCTTTACTATCGTTGTCGTCCTGTCTGCTTTCTTTACTGTTGTGTTGTCAATAAACATGATCTCTGATCTTCAGATGGCCCCAATAAATATTTTGCTATCTTTGTCAATGTTTAAATGAATCATTTTCTTTTCTCACTGCTGGGTAACGACAAATTTAGCTTGATAACTTTTGAACTGTGATGAAAGACTATTATGTGGATGTGTGTTGCTCAGAATAATGTTTTGTGACTGTCTTTGTTTTCTAGGCCCAGTGATATAGTCATCCTTTCCCATAAGGAGCATCTGCCTGTCACTCAGATAGTGACAACAAACACAGGCCAACGACACTCTGAAGCAAGCTTTACATTGGGGCCTCTGCTTTGCCAGGGGGACAGTAAGTGACATAAAGGAATTGTCCTGTCCCCTGAAAATACATGTCAGTGCTCCAGGAGGAATTTGGGTGCATGGGTTCTAACTCTATGCAATTAGCACTCATAAATGAAGTTTTACTATCTTACTTGTAAATGAAAACATTACATTTCTACTGGATGAGTGTTTTAAATTATTTTATGTTTTTAATACTTTAATTGAATCACCACGAGATTGAAAATTACAAAGCTGTTCATGATAGGGTTTCAGTCACACAATGTTCCAACACCCATCCTTACACCAGTGCACATTTCCCAGCATCAGTATCCCCAGATTCCCTCTCATCACTGCATCACTGCCCCCTTCACTCCAGTCTGCCTCTATGGCAGGCACCTCTCTTTGTCTCTCTCTCTCTCTCCCACCTCTCTCCCTCTCCCTCTCCCTCTCTCCCTCTCTTTCTCTTCTCTTATTTTGCAATATAGTTACTAAAATGTTATGATGTATATTTCTTTACCTCCTCTTAACTCTCAGTTCTTGTCCAGAGTGGTCATTTCCAACTATTGTTGTCATACTAGGCCCACCTCTATCTTGACTACCCTTCACCCCCGACACACTTGTGGAGATTTCCGATCATTCACCAGTCCTCCTGGCTCCAGTTTTCCATGGTCTTGAATATTAGTTTCATACTATTTTTTTTGTATCCCAGAAATGAATGCAGTAATTCTATATCGTCCCTCTCCTTCTGAGTCATTCCACTCCACATTATACTCTCCATTTCTATCTATTTATAGGAAAATTTCATGATTTCATTTTTCCTGTGTAGCACTAGTTATGTAGATGTACTATAGTTTATCTAGTCACATCTTCTTGTACACTCAAGTTGTTTCCAAACTCTAGCTATCATAAATATTGTAAGTAGTGCTGCAATAAATATAGAAGTGCAGGTGATGTTTCTTCTTGCTTTTTTTTGGACCCACGTATTATGAGTTTTTAATGTAGTATCTAAAGAGAATTGCTATTTCGAGATTCATGGAACTGGAGCATGGCAGCATATTTTAACACAATATGCCAAAAAATAAAGAAGAAAATATTTACCCAACAATCTTACTCTACTAGTTATGTGTATGGTCACGCCATTCTTCCTGTTGCTCCTTAGACTAATAGTCATATTTTCTTTTTTTTACTCTCACAAAAGTCATATAATTCATCAACAAATCTCACTGCTTCAATATCAAAAGTAGATCCATAATCCACCTCCATGCCCATATCTCTGGTCTGGATGCTGCTGGAACCCCATAACTGATCTTGATACTACCTCTGTTTACCTCACTGATACTCCACACAGCTGCCAGAGGGAATGAGACAGATCAACACAGTTTCCATATCACTCTCCCACGTCACTGCTTTTATGGGGTGATCACCAGTGTAGACATAGGCGGCGCTGCCCCAGGGCCTTTCAGGATGTCAGTGGTGGCTGTGGAGCCAAAACCTTTGCTGGGGCCCTGTGTGAATGTGTGTTGTATCAGGAAATCACAATATTCTAGCACTTTGCTTTTATTTTTTTAAATTTTTAATAGTGAGACTTCATGAGGTACAGTCGCAGACTTACACATTTTTGTGCTTGGGTTTTAATTATACAATGATCAAATACCCATCCCTCCACCAGTGCCCATTTCCCACCAACACGGATCCCAGTATCCATCCAACCCCCCCATCTCCCCCATTCCACCCTACCTCTGTGGAATTCCCTTTTGTTCTCTCTCTCCTTTTGGGTCCTGTGGTTTGAAAGAGAGGCATTGAATGACAATCATGTTTGGTCTATAGTCTACTTTCAGCATGTTTCTGCCATCCTGGGAGGATGCTCCCAATACCTTTATTTGGTGTTCCCTTCTCTATCTGAGCTGCCTTTTCCCCTAGCATGTGTGGTTGGCCTCCAAGCCATGGAGTAAAATTCCTGGTACTCATCTCGGCCATTCTTGGGTGTTAGTCTCCCATTTTGTTACTTTATGTTCCCCAGATGAATGCAATCTTTCCATGTCTATCCCTTTCTTTCTGAGTCATCTGGCTTAACATGATACTTTCCATGTAGTACCACTTGTATGTAAATTTCATGACTTCGTCTTTTCTAACAGCTACATAGTACTCCATTGTGTAAATGTAGCAAAGTTCCTTTAACCAGTCATCTGTTCTCAGGCACTCAGGGTTTTTTTTTCCAGATTCTGGCTATTGCAAAGAGTGCTGCAATGAACAAACAATTGCAGATGTTATTTCGACTATACTTTTTTGCCTCTCTGGGATATATTCCCAGGAGTGGTATTGCTGGATCAAATGGGAGCTCAATTTCTACTTTTTTGAGAATCGTCCATATTATTTTCCAAAAGAGCTGAACCAGTCGGCATTCCCACCAGCAGTGAAGGAGGGTCCCTTTCTCACCACATCAGCACCAACACCAGTTGCTTTTGTTCTTTTGATGTGGACCAGTCTCTGTGGTATGAGATGGTATCTCATTTGTGTTTTGATCTGCATCTCCCTGATGATTAGTTGTGTACAGCGTGTTATCATGTGCCTTTTTGCTATTCGGATTTCTTCTTTGAGAAAGTTTCGGTTCATTTCATCACCCCATTTTGTGATGGGGTTGGATGTTTTTTCTTGTGGAGTTCAACGAGTACTATGTATATCCTTGATATCAACCCCTTGTCAGATGGGTATGGGGCGAATATACTTTCCCATTCTGTGGACTGTCTTTGTTGTGTGGTCACTGTTTCTTTTGAGGTGCAGAAGCTTCTTAGTTTAAGATAGTCCCATTTGTCTATCTATGTTTTCACTTGCTTGGCCAGTGGCGTGTCATCTTTGAAGATACCGTTAGCTTTGATATCGTGGAGGGTTTTGCTACCCTAGTCTTCAATGTACCTAATGGATTCCAGTCTGATGTAGAGGTCTTTAATCCATTTTGATCTTACTTTTTTCACATAGTGTTAGGTAGAGATCTGAGCCCATTTTTTTGCATGTAGCCATCCAGTTTTGTTGGAACAATTTGTTAAAGATGCTTTCCTTGCTCTACTTCACATTTCTTGCTCCCTTATCAAAAATTAGATGATCATAAATTTGGGGGAGATGTCAGTATATTCAACCCTGTTCCATTGGTCTGCAGCTCTGCCTTTGTTCCAGTACCATTACTGCTTTGTAGTAGAGTTTGAAGTTGGGGAGGTTGATTCCTCCAATTTTCTTTTTCCCAAGAATTGCTTTAGCTATTGTTTCATATGAATTGCTCCGTTTCTTTGAATTATGTCATGGGTATCCCTATAGGGATCTCATTAAATTTGTACAATGCTTTGGGGAGTATTGCCATTTCGACCATGTTAATTCTCCTGATCCATGAGATGGGGATATTTTTCCATTTTCTATGTACTCTTTTATTTCCTGAAGTAGCCTTTTGTAGTTTTCTTTGTACAGATCTTTTACGTCATTAGTTAAGCTAATTCCTAGGTACTTGATTTTCTGGGACATAATTGTAAACAGGATTGTATTTTTCATGTCACTTTCTTCTCTCTCACTATTTGCATATAGGAAAGCCATGGATTTTTGGGTATTGATTTTATAGCCTGCAATTTTACTATACAAGTCTATTGTTTCTAGGTGTTTCTTGGTAGAGGTTTTAGGGTTCTCTAAGTATACTATTGTATCATCTGCGAATAGTGAGAGCTTGATTTCTTCCTTTCCTACCTGAATGCCCTTAATATCTTTTTCTTGCCTGACCACTATTGCAAGTACTTCCAGTACTATATTGAATAGCAGTGAAGAGAGTGGGCACCCTTGTCTCATCCCTAATCTTAGATGGAAACCTCTTAGTTTTTCCTCATTGACTATGATGCTTGCCATAAGCTTGTGGTAGATGGTTTTAACTATGGCTTCTATCCCAATTTTGGTGAGGGTTTTCATCATAAACGGATGCTGGATCTTGTCAAATGCTTTCTCTGCATCTATTGATACAATCATATGGTTTTTGTCTTTTCTTTTGTTGATATGATGGATTATGTTGATTGATCTCTGAATGTTAAACCATCCTTGAATTCCCGGGATGAATCCCACTTAGTCATGATGAATGATCTTTTTGATGAGTTTTTGAATTCTATTTGCTAGTATTTTCTTGAGAATCTTCGCATCTGTGTTCATCAGGGATAACGGCCTTTTCTTTTCTTTTCTTTTCTTTTCTTTTCTTTTCTTTTCTTTGTTTCTTGTGATGTCTTTGTTTCTTTTTGGTATTAGAGAGATATGCGCTTCATAGAAACTGTTTGAGAGAGTTTCTTTTTCTTCAATTTCTTGGAAAAGCTTGAGAAGAACTGACAATAGGTCCTCTTTAAATGTTTGGAAAAATTCGCTAGTGAATCCATCTGGACCTCAGCTTTTGTTTTTCGGAAGAATTTTGATTACAGTTTCAATTTCCTTGGTGTTAATAGGACTATTCAGGTATTCTAGATCTTCTTGATTCAGCCTTGGGAGATTATAAGAATCCAGACATTTATCCACTTCTTCTAGGTTCTCTTATTTTGTGGCATACAGACTTTCAACGTAATCTCTGATGATCTTTTGAATTTCTTTGGTTTCTGTTGTGATATCCCCCTTCTCATTTCTGATTCGGTTTATTGGGGTTCTCTTTCTCCCTCTCTCTCTCTCCCTCTCTCTCTTTCTTTGTGAGTCTTGCTAATGGTTTCTCCATCGTGTTTATTTTCTCATAGAACCAGCTTTTGGTTTCATTGATCTTTTGGATTGTTTTTTGTGTTTCCATGTTGTTGATTTCTGCTCTAATTTTTCTGATCTCTTTCCTTCTGCCTGGTTTGGGCTCCTTTTTTGGTCCTTTTCTAATATCTTGAGCTGTGAAGTCAAGTTGTGTATGTGGGCCCTTCTTTCCTTCCTGAGAAATGCTTGCAGAGCCATAAATTTTCCCCTTAACATGGCTTTAGCTGCGTCCCATAGGTTCTGGTAGCTTGTGTCTTTATTCTCATTTGTTTGCAGGTACCTTTTAAT